ATCACAGTTGGATCTTTTTCGGGTCAAAAGTCGCCGGACAAATAAGCGTTCTATACTGTAGAAATAAAGGTTCCATTCTTTCGTACATTTCGCATTCTTTTCGGTATTTCGATAGTTTACGGAGAAGGCAGTCTGTGTTGCGTTGTAGGGACATGGACTACTACTACACAGGGCGCAGATATTCTGCTCCACCACATGTAAATTTTACGAGCATATTTCCTGATGGCAATTAAATATATACTTAGCGATGAACTTATATCAAACAAAATTAGCAGCACTTAATTAAAACTGGGCTTGAATTCTTCTGTTTGAGAGTAAACCCTTGCCGAGGCCATAAAACATTTAACAACTGAACAATACTGATGACCATTTCAACATCAATACATCAATCAAACATTTTAAGTAAGGCTCTATAAAACATGTTCCCGAGCGCCTGTATTCAAGTAAAAAGCGCTGCCTGGCTCTCATTTTCTCTCGACGCGCTCTCTCTCCTCTTTACTGGCTGTTCGCCTAAATTCTTCTCGTTCGCTCTACTTTTCCATCCCCGCTACTCGCATGTCTTTTCCCATCTCTATCCGTCCCGTACTGCGCCCATTCCTTCTCGTCTCTACTCATGATGAGGTAGTAAGGTCTGGCTAACGTTTGATCACGAGTTGAATTCTGTCGCTCACTGTCTAACAGGTATTTTAGTGTATATCCTATTAAGACTTGGAAGGAATTTCACGAAAGTGGGTTCTTGAGTGCCTTCGTTACTACGAGATAACATGTGAAAACGAAATATGTGGATGGAGTTTCATTCTCAGTGTCCCAGCGTAAAAGACAATTTCCAATTAATGGTATATGAATCGCAATTTCGCCGTTTCTCACGTACCTGGTTGGATTGGAACCTATTCACCAAACTCACAAGAGGAATATGTCTCGAGTAATTAAAATGGTCAATCTCGCGTCCGAAGAAAGCGTTCTCCACTTCCGCATGTCACGTGTAACGTTGAATTAACAGTTCATGTTAGAAATGAAGTGAAGTAGAAATCCAAACGTTGATGTCTTGAACTGAGCATAAACTTTTAATATCTGGTCACGTCACATATCTTGCAAACAGGCAAAAGCGTGGCGCTTTTTCCCACCACAACGCAGGACCTTTCTACTTCTTAATCTCCCCCTCAATCTCTTCCTAACCTGCCTATATATTATCCCACCCAAAACCCTACCATTCTGCAGCACAATGTACACCCGTTGTCCGCAGACGGCGTCCATACCTCCATTCAACAAATGACCCTAGAAACGTCGACCTAGAACACACCGTTTACCATTTTCTTAACCTATAACACATCAATCTAGCGCGACAAGATGCGCGAACGCTCTGTCTAGCATAGACTACACTAAAACAACACCTAGTCTTAGTCTCCGCTGCTAATTCATTGCAACATCTGTAAATCATATGTTAAACCGCATCGGCGGTTTAGCAAACAGCAATTGGACACCGAGCAGTCAAAAAATATTTTGAATTTAGTATAAAAGAGGTTAAAACATAAATATATTATATCAGGGCGGCGCGCCACGGTTTTCAAGTCCTCGGGGGGCGGAATTGGAGTCAGAAAAATCGAAGCGACCATGCCGGGGATGAAGTTTATTCGGCCGAAACAGCGCCAGAGCGGAGGGAGCATAAGCGACCGAGCGGGGTGGGTGGGAGGGGAGTACTCCCCAGGAGGGAGCTTTTTAAATGATTTTTTGCACTTTGAATTTTTGTAAGCCGAGCTGTTTGGTGCACATCCGAGGTTGAAAATTTCAAATTTTTTTTAAAATGTAATAAAACGAATAACACCTTTTTCAGGTACATGTCTTTTGTAAATGTCAAACTGTTAGGTGAAGGATCATTAATTTGGCTATCAATTATTGATTACAATTGTAATTAGAAATAAAGAATATTGAAATTTAGTGAATCTTTTTTCAGGCGTTGACAGAATTTTCATTTTCTTCAACTGGTAATAGTCAAAAATAAGACACTGCTGAATGATATTTAAACACTTATATAACATCATTCGACTAAGCTTTTATCTTTATGTATCTTCATGTTGCTGACACAGTTTTGCCTATGTAAAACCCAAGGCTGCTAGGATATTACAATACAAGAATACGAGTCAATATTGATTAATTAAAAAGACTAAAACTTAAAGTGCAAACTAAACTAAAAGAAATAAAAGGAACTATATAAATATATTATACCATAAAAAGGGGCGTTACAGGAGAGGGTCAGGGGTCCGGACCCCCCCCCTCTCGGGAAGAAACGCATCTGAGGGGTTTTCTTAATTTTTTTCAAAAATTTTTGGAGGACCCCCAACCCTCCTACTCGCGTGCTGTACTGGCAGTCGTTTGGGTTACGTTAGACCCCCCCTGCTCAAATCCTGTACACGCCCTGTAAACAACGCTCATAGGGTCTAGTTGTCCCCAGTTATTGCGAACGTACCTGGGTACGTCCGGTTATGGCTGTTCCTTGGAGCACGGGCTCCTGGGCGCGCGGCTTAATTCTGTGGTGCGTTGGGTAGTGACAGTAAGAGTTACAGTGGTGGCATATGGCAGTACATCCTCGTACTGTTTATTATTTCGCTTTTCCGAGTTCGGCGTAGAAGCGCAGCGATTCAGCCGTTGTCCGACGTTTTTTGGGCAAAGCGCTTGTGACATGTCGTGGTTTTGCATTTAGTAGTAAGTGAGGACTTTCTCAATTTTGTAAATTTTAGTTAGGCAGATGAATGTGGAAAACACTCTCTTTTTTCGCTGTTCCTACTTCTCTTCTTCTTTATTCCCTTTCTTCTTTTTCTAATGAATTTTTTCTTTCGATATACAAATAATAAGTAGAATAAATATTTTCGCCCAACAAAAGTGGGGGCGCCCCCCGCCCCCCGTACGCGCAGTCGCCTTGTATTATAATATTTAATTATATATAAATATTTGCACGAGCGCGATGCAAGTGCTTCGGTATTGTGCACGAAACCGCACGATGTTTCAACAGATTCCTTTATTTCCCAATTTCTGTCGTCGCACATCTTTTGCAGCTTGGGGGGTGCAGAGATTTACTTTGGTAATAAATTATCATGTTGTCGTTGCTGTGTTGTAAGCTGCCATGTGTTGCTTACAAAGCAGTTCCTGTGCTCCAGTATAGCGTTTTTCTGCCGTGTTTTCGAGAACTGGATTGATTGAGATGTTGGTTTTGTACATGATTTTCTTTGTTTTTCATCGTCTATTATTGTTACCATAAGAACCCATTGCACTACTTATATTTCATTAAATTAGCTTTTTTTCTATTTTCGTTACCCCCCATTGCAAAAGTTTGTCAGCTCACGCTGTGCTTTATTAGCACAATTCTTCCTGACACACACGCCTCCACGACAAACATACAACCTATCTCCCCCACACACAACACACTTTATATATATTAGATTATATCTTATTATATATGAAGATCCATATATATTTATATGGTGACGCAATGTTTCGGATTAACACTTTTTTTTTCAACAGTAACGCGTTGTCGAAGCCATTCTTTACAGAGTTTTTTGTGACCTGGACAATAGTTTTTCCGGACAAGTAATTTTTTTGTCGCTACTTTTATACGGGTGACATGCGTGCCAGATAGTAATTTGCAACTTAAATAGATTAAATGCGCGTTTTTCAGAGAGTAGGGAGTTTTTTTTTTGACGAGCAGCAAGCTTACTTTTATCCATGACCAAGGTTATTGTTGCCAGCTCGTTGAGTATTGACCTGCTTTGTAGCGATACTTATTGCAGATTTAAGTTAACACAATTAATTATTATACAGTTGTCATATAAGTCCAAAGTTTGATGCAAATATTGCGGACTTTGGTAGGCATCCAGATTTAAAAATGATTTAGTACGAGCACGCAGTGGTTGCATAGTTGTCACCGGTTGAACACCAAAAGCATGCAAAATACACTACGCGCGCCGCACGCACACCGACATACACACGCCCACACCGACTATAAATTATTATATATGTATTAATTATCTAATGTATTTGTATATTGTATGTATATTGTATTATGTATATTGTATGTTGTATATGTATATGTATATGTATATGTATATGTATATGTATATGTATTATTTATATTATATGTATATTGTATATGTTATATGTATATGTTAGTGTAATATGTTAATTATATGTTATGTAGTATGTATAATTATATGTATATGTATATGTATTTATATGCTATAGCTGTATATGTTTGTATAGTATATGGAGGAGGATATTATATGTGTATATGTATATGTATATGTATATGTATAATATTTATTGATAATGTATGTATATGTAATGTATATGTATATTGTATTGTATATGTAATTTTATCTATTATGTATTATGTAGTTGTATATGTATAATGTTATATGTATATGTATATGTATACTATAAATATTATATATATCCTGATATATTATATAGTATATTATATATATCATTATTATATATGATATTTTTGGTATCATGTGCGTGTTTTTTAAACTTTGGATTTTTAACTCATCGTATTGTTTGACGAGCTTTATGTGGAACATATTTGTTAGTGGTTGTTTTAAAGTGGCTAACGGCAGGATACAATTAACACAACCCGCAGTTCGAGAGGAATGAGTGAGGAGGAGGGGAGGCAGTGGAGGATAATGGGGTGGTGGAAGCAACACTGGCGTTTTTTTAGGAGTAGTGGAAAAACGGATTACG